TTCTTTCATGACAAAGTAGGGAAATAAATACTTATTTACAGAAAAAAATGGCCATTTTCTAGCCTGGAATCGCAGCTTTTTATTTGAGAATAACTTCTTTTTCGCCATAAAAAGTTCAAATTCGTATAGAGCACAAAATTTTGAGTTAGAAAAGACATTTTCCATTAAAGTTTGAAGAAGAGTTCTTTTATAAGGGACCCAACATTGAAAAATAGGGTCTAGATTGTGATCCAGACTATATAGAGAACAAAGGAGTTTTTAGAGGTTTTATTATGACATTCATAATCAGCACATTTTAATGTATAGAAATATCTAGCTTTGATTGGTGAAAAGCGAAATTTTGTTTTCGACGATACCTGAGGGGGACATCAGGGACCAAAATTGATGATGTCATTTTTTTCAAAATAAACCTGAAATAAATAATCAGGAGTCACCCCATATTCACACCTAATAGAAATAAATTAGTCCTGAAGCACTTTAAAAGATTTGGCCTTATCCGCCCTCCTCCGTTGTGGTCTTCCTCAAGTCACGTGGAAAATCAACTTTCTACTTCAAACATTGCACAAAACAAAATTCCTAATGAGATTAGTTGACTGAGCAAGTTTTAGCTTTTCTAGTATGTTCTTTCTGGAGATGTAAATAGATGTATCAAAATTTACTTTTACACACGAGAGAGAATTTCGAATATTGAATATCTCAGGATAGGATATACTAGAAAAGTTACAACTTGCTCAATAAATTAACCTCGTTGAAAACTTTGTTCGCGCAAAGTTTGAAGTCGAAGTTCGATTTACCATGTGACCTAGGGAGTACCACAGCTTTTTGTTGAAAAACGAAGGTCCGTAAAGCCAAACTGTTCTAGACTTTTATATTGTTCATGAAATGAACCCTATCTCAGTCAAAAAGCGACTTGACATCTGGAAAGGTTCCTTCGTCAGTAACGACAAAACATATTTTTCATGTAGCATGCAAGTCACATATTTAATAATGATATAAATCAATGCTCTAACATGAGCAAAACAAAATATATTAAGATGAACATGCGGTGCAAAGCAAAAAAGAATAATGATTTTAATCAGCAAAACGTTTTCTTTTCTTTTTTATTGTTGATTTTGTGACAACAGTTTTTGGTTCATCTAGCAAAAAGAAAAAAGATAATAAAAAGTTTAAAACAATTCGATTTTTTTTTACCTGAACTAAATGGTAAACAACGAAGTTTTAATTGTTTTGGAAATTCTGATCGAAAATTTACTTCTTTTGGTTCATAATCCGATGGTGGTTCAATATCTTGAACTAATGAATAAGTTTCTACTGATGATGAAACTAAAAAAGATAGATTTGCTAATGAAACGAAAAGACAAAACATACTTAAATGAGCTTCATTTCCATTTGTACTTCTTTGAAAACAATAAAATTCAGCAGTTGAATCATTTTGACGTTGAACTCGTAATTTATGATCACCCTAAGAAGAATCAAAACTAATTATTTTTGTCCTCAAGAAAAAAACGAAATGTACCACGGTAAATTGTCTTCCTTTAGTAAGATGACGATAAGATAATGGAAGTTCATTGATATCAGAAAATGATTTGAGTAGCTATTTATAGGAAAAGAAATTTTCTAAAAAAAGGAATTCAATTTTTATTTACGTACAGTTTTTGGAAATAATAGAAGTACAGGTTTCATATTCATTATCTAAAACAACAAATTCAAAATTGATTTAATACGAAGCTATATAATAAACATTTATATAATCAAATATAAAGCATCGATGAGTAATAGAAGCAATTAAAAATTGAATGAGATTCAATAAACGAAAATTTTTTGTGGCATGATCATTATTCAAAAGAAAATCAAACATCACTGTAGAAAATAAGTATAAAATAATAAACGCTCACTATTCATTTATTACCATTACATAAATCCTTTTTAGACTTATGAACATAATCTCCCTTTTCATAAACTCTTGTACTGTTTTCTGTGTTGATAACCTTTTTTGAGTATATGTATGGAATAAACTCTCAGACGAAGGATTTATTATTCTACACTTATTTTTTACAATCATACAGGTTGCTCAATAGATCTTGGTTTTTGTAATGTTAAAAAGTAGATTCAACTC